ATAGTGCAATGGATCCATTAAAAATAGTATGCATTTATGGAGCATTAGAAGACGATGTTCGAAAAAGAAAAAGAAGCTGGGTACATCCACTCAATATGAAACGATTAAAGTGTGGGCAGTTTCATATATTACATACGAGTTTATGTGAACATCCAGATCGATTTGTTAAGTACGACCACATGCCAATAAATGTTTTTCAAGAATTATTAAGCCTAGTTATAAAACCGTTTGTTGCTAATTCATTTGAGGAAAGACTAATAATAACAATCAAGTAAGTTGTTCAATTATTTATATTTTAATCTCCGTATCGAACATTTTCGCAAGAAACGTCTATACTCAAGCGCATCCTATACCAAAGTGACCCCTTCCCTCACCCCTACCTCCACCCGCGCCAGCCCGACACACGATGCGACCGAAAATCAGTCATTACGCCCGTGAGATAACTCACTTTGCGTCGTCGTGTGGAACAAAACCGTACTTTTATATGAAACCGAATGCTGCGCACCTCACAACTCACAAAATTACGCTCATCTGGCCTCACACTAAGATGCACGCGGGCTCCGCGCGGCGGCAACGCGGTCTCCGCGCGGCGGCAACGTGGTCTCTGCGCGGCGGCAACGCGGTCTCCGCGGCGGTGCACTATGGGAAATTTACATTAGTTACGGACCAAAGTACAAATAAATGTGCAAAATCATAAATCTCCTTCTGATAAATACTACCCAATATTTTTTTTTTAATGGAAATGCCATGTTACGATAATGCTTTATTCATAAAATAAATTAAATAGAATTATATAATTTTCTTAAAATTATATTTAAAAAAACGAAACAAAAGCATACTTGTTATTATTTCGGAGACATCTGTTTTAGACTCTAGCCTCTCTCTTCTATCATGGCCTGTTATTACTGTAATACTTCTTGTTTTATTTGCTTGTTTTCGTCACTCGTAGCTAGACCATTTTTGAAACGAAAGGTTGTAAGAAATATTGACTGTGAACTGGCAATTGGTACTATCTCAATTTTGACAACTTTACGGGTGAAGAAAAAAAATGTTTTCATTTATATAGCATCTGATTTATTAAATAAAAATACGTAGTTTTTAAATATTTTTATAACACATACACTACATATTTTTATTTAATAAACCAGATGGTATAAATATGACGAAAACAATTTTTTCTTCATCGTGCAAAGTTATATGCAATACAGATATATATAGATATGCAAACTCCTCTCCATACAGCGAATCCAGGCGTGCTTGCAGTGTTGATAATCCATAACGAAAAGAATTTTCATTCTCGGGCCTAGCAGTTACATTTTGTAAATTATTCATTACACGTGGAGTAGCACCATAAATATTACATGTTGAACTTGAAGGAGTGTCGGTTAATACCTGAGCTACTTTGCCGTTTATCATGGTCAAAAAAAGTTCATGTTTAACTTGAACGCCATTGCCTTCCTTAACAATCAACGATGGCCTCAAAGAATCAATTTGATTTTGAATATTGTTAACAACAGCTTTAGTTTTCTCAGGAGTTTCTTTCGAATACTCAATTAAAATAGGGCGACAGAATCTCACGGATGAAGGCGCAGGATTACAACAGTACCATTCGTTTCATCAATTAATCTGACGGGCACAACAGATGCAACGTATGAGTCTGACACAAGTTCAGACTCTTCTGGAAGTCTTTGTTTATACGCACTTTGACCAGACGAACCATCACATCACCATTTACTGTATAAAACCAAGTGTTTCAAACCGTTTTTGTACACGGAATCTATCGTCAAGATCCTCGCCGTTGTGTGAGCGAATAAATCCAATAGGGATAACATTTTTGTATATGTGTTTGTAAGCTAGCTAATGCAGGTGGGTAACAGCTCTGTTTATTTTTTTGTACTTTGTAATAAGGTGGTAGTAAGAAACAATTCCGTTCATCCATAATATTCTTCAAATATAAATATTGAGTCTTGGTCAAATCTAATTCAATAAATACACTTAATGCTTCTTGATCGCTCAGCGTTTGGACGGTATTAGAGTCGTCCATCAATTTTAACACTGATATTTTTTCTCTGCATCAGCAGACCTCAATGCCTCCACGATTTTTGCTTCATTACTTTCTCCCTTTGATCGCAGCCCTGGAATATATGCACCATGGACGTGTTCGAATCCATATTCATTAAGTAGTGTAGTTATTTTGCGCTTCTTACTAGATTCTAAAGAATTTTCATAAAACATACACGGTCTTCCTAGTTTTCCAGTTGAAGTAGATGGAATGTACTAGATTATCGTTGACAAATTAACAGAAAACTCTTGATCCAACCTATCACTGTTAACTCTCAAAAAGGCTTCTTTCTTTCGCGATGCTTGGCTCCGTCGACTGTTAAACTGTGCTAGCAATTATTTTTTTAATCACAACTATCGAACGTAAAAATGTTTCTTAGAACCGATTCATTTCTTCCACCTTCAATGTAGGAAAGTATTCTCAAACATTTGAAAGTACTCATTTTCAAAGGAGTTGGAAAAGTACATTCAGTAACAGACGGCTTGTTTTAATAAATTAATGTGTCATAGCATTATAAAGTAATGGTGTAGTGTGAATAAATTGATAAATATGATAAATGCAACCGCATTTATATTCTTATCGCGTTGCATTGATATGGGTATTTTTCTGCGGTAGGACATTTGTTACGATTTCTTTCATATCTATAGAAACCGCAAAAAACCGCAGCTGATTTTTATACAATTTTGATAATGAATACCTACGCTGTGAAATAATATAAAATTGGAAGCTTCGGTTGGCTTCGTTAACAGTCAAAACCTTTGATGAATTTGATAAAGATAGGTTAATGTCTCCATTTTTAATTATGATTTATATTCTTTACATTACACAAACCTTCAGTATAATAAAGTATGACATCTAAACTATCAAACAAAATTACTTAAATATGTATTTCGATTAAGACATTGGTCAAAACCATTTTTGATAGGCCGTTGTTCTCCTATTTCCCATAGTGCGGCGACACGAGCGAGACGAAATTCTTATCGAAGAAATACGCCTTTATGGACGGAGCCAGACACTTCTGATATCACTTTTAATTCCTCCATCCATATAGACAGGTTAGAGGCTATACAGCGCAGATTCCCGCGAGCTTTGACTGCGAAGTGTGGTATACGTAAAGCAA